TTTGATTCGATTTGAAAAAACCAAATCAAATTCAAATTGCTTAAATATTTGATTTGATTTGATTTTGAGGAACCCTATTCATGTTATTATCTCCATCTATTATTTCAGATAAGTGAATATGTTTTTTTAGTATATATATTAATAGCCACTCTAACAGCTGTCCATATAAGATCTAAAACTCTAGATGTTGTCTGATAGTCAATAACCGCTTCAAATTTATCTAGAAATCAAACGCCTAATTGTTTTGCCAAATTTAAAAGCCCGTAACTAGAAAATAACGTTACTAAATCTGAACAAAAATCTTTAGAGGTATGCCATTGTCCAAGTAATGATCTTAATTGAGGCCATTATGCTTGACATTTAATTAACCAACGAAAAATTGTTTTATCAGTAACAATATTATGATATTCAGCTTTATACATCTTGGTGGCTTCTAAAATTGCTTGGTCTGAATTTGAATTATCACTCAGTTCAAGAATTACAACATGAGGAGAAGATCCTTAGCAATCATGTTCAAATTTTGCTAATATTATTTTTTAATTATACCTGCATCAAAATCTTGATTATAAACAAAATTTTCTTCATTTATTTCTTGAAAGTCTAATAATTCTTCTAATATTTCTTAAAATTTATTTAGAGCTTTTTGGGTGACAAAATTCATACCAAATATATGTATATTCTGATCTAAAACAACTACTTCTTCTTGACGTATTATTAGGTTACTAGGAAGTCTTGATTGAAATACCATTCTTAAAGTTGCTTGTGAACTGTTTCGGGTGGTATCATATATATTTCCAAAAGAAAATGATTTTTGTTTGAAATCAATATTATCTATTACTGCAAGATTCTATACATTTAATTCTTTGTATAGATTTTGTGTAGGAATAACTTTACTCATTCGTTCTTGTTCTTGATTTCATTCATGACATTTATTATATCTAATTACATTCCATATAGCAAGAAGTTGATGAAATAATGATAGTAACTTTGGTTTACATATCAAACTGCTTAATGTATTAGTTAACCAAATATTGTACGAAGGAAAAGTAATGCTAATAAGAACAGAGACAAAAAAGGTAACTATTTTTATAATTTTATTTTCAGGTAAAGTTTTTATAGGCTGTTTTCAATGCCTTCTTTATCTATTACTAATAGCTAACTTTCGTTTAAAAATTTCTATTAACATTCCCCCAAAAAACTTTGTAATGAAATTTGGAAACGCGTGATAATACTCAATGAGTGATCCTGGTAATTTCAATAAATTTTTTTCATCTTCAATTGCTTTACGTGATTTCCAAAATCTAACTCCAATTTCTTGTCCTAAACTTTTACTATTAATGATTTCTAAGTTTCTTTTTTCATATTAAGAAAAAAAGTTTGTATAATAAAAAGGCTAAGTGTTTCATTTACTTTATTTGTTTTATTATTAATAGTTTTATTTTAGGAAGTTTCTTTTGATGATGAAGTTTCAGTTAAAGGTGTGAAAAGAAAAGGAAAAATAGCTTCAACAATTGACTTCAATATTTTTTTTTTGATGACTCGTTATTTGTATTGGAAATTGTAATAAGCCAATTTGCAATAAACTTGATTCCTTTTGTGGTATCTTGTTCATGCAATCCATCTTGAATACAATTAGATTTTTGACCTCAACCTATATGTTTGTGAATATGTCTACCTAATTGTTTATAACAAGTACAACAGATGCATCTTAGTTGGTTAATTTTATCAAAAGCACGCTTACAAAGTATTAGAGAATCTGTAGAGAATTTTTTTAATGCATTACAATATACCATTCCATTACAAGGCACTTGTATATTTCGTTCATTAATTAACCAAAAATAGTTAATACATCCTTTTCCACAATTAAAGAATGTTACATATTTTTTTATATCCTACATATTTTCGATGTTGAATTATTGCATTCTCAATACTCTTTAATTTTTTGTTTTTGGAGTTGTGAATTTGATTTTAATCATATAAAAAATGTGAATCACAAATACCTAATTTAATATAATCCTTACTAACTTCTCAAATTGAATTTTGATCTATTTGCCATGTTCTATATAAATTTTGTAATTTTCTAAATTTATAAGATTCATCACATCTCTTAATAGTACCCTAAATATGATCAATGATTACGCAAGGTGTTAGTGAAGCAGGTGGTATTTTCACATTAGATTTTTTACTAATAAACTCTTTATTTATGTCCTCATTATCTGGTATTATCTCATTTATTTCTTCATGTTTATTGTTAGAGTTTTGTTCATTATCACTATCATAGTCTTATTCTAATTATTCTTCAATATCATTATCATATACACCTGAATATGATTTTATATCATCATCGTTGTAGTTGCCATAAACCTTGTTTTACAAATATATAGAATTTTTGAGTTCGATAAGCTTCAACATAGCTTGTACCTTCTTGATCGTTTCTGCTACTCATTATCAAGAGGATTTATTTTATAAATTAATTTTTAATTGCTGAGAATCCTTTTCTTCATATAAGCGTTATTTTTTTTTAATAATTTCTTTTAATGTTATTATCGTTTAAACTTTAGTCTAATTATTCTTATCTTTCCTTAAATATTGTACTTCTTCTCTTTATTCTTATTATTTTAATGTTAGTTTAAGCTTTTCAAACCTCACATAGTTTCAGTAGTGTCAGCATCAATAAACTATCAGCAAATGTATACAATATTTTTACTATGAGTATCCAGAATACTATTTGAGTATTAGGCATCAACTATTCTATTCTATAATTATTTTCTTAAAGTTGTTTATTCTTTCATTATATTCTTTTAGTATTAATTCTAATTATTATATAACTTTATCTTTTCTGAATATTTCTTCCAAATATTATTTCCAAATGTCTTTTCCAAATATTATTTTTGAATGTATCTTCTGAATATTACTTCTGAATATTTCTTCCAAATGTTTCTTCTAAATATTATTTTTCTTTAATTTTCCTTAATAATTCATTTAATACTTCTATTTATTTTCTTTCGTATTTTTGCATTTAAATATTCTTTAACTTTCTGTCATATTTTTATTATTCCTTTTAAGTTTTATTTCTGCATTATTTCGTTAACATTATTCTAAAATTAAAGTTTATATACAACTGAAATAACTTTATTTATTTTCATAATTTAATTGTTCAACAATTAATTATTTCAAACAAAAATATTCATTTTTATTTGTGTTAAAAGTTTATTTATTAAAATTTTTTTTTATTCTTGAGAAAATCAAACCTCTCAAACTTGAAGATATTCAAGGGGTTTATATACTAAATTTACATAGTAAAAGTGATGATTAGTAACTACATGTAATGAATAAACTAATTATTTCACCTGTAATATTTAATATCTGTCACTAATTATAACTACTGATAATGTATATTCTATCTATTACTACGTGATGTTTAATATTCACTTTTCCTGTTTTTAATGTTTTCTTTTATTTCAAATTATCCGTTCTATTACTAAATTTTGTATTACTATTATTTATTATTTACTTTTAATTTGTTATATTTCTTCGTACTTCCGTTGTATTAATTTTACTATTGTTATTAATTCTTATTTGTTTTCTTTTTAATTCTTTAATCTTTTATTACTTCTTATTTTCTTTCTTATCTTTTCAGACTTCAGTTTTTCTACTATACTTTGTATTACTATTAACTTCTATTCTTCTTCTGATTTTCATTTCGTTTATGATATCATGTATAAGCTTTCATATGGTCCAGTTCATCATTCCTAATGATTGTGCCTTTTATGTAACCTTCTTACATCTTCATGTAACTTTTTCTATTTGTTATTTTTCAAATATTTTCTGTCTTTTTATGACCCTCCATTCAATTGATTAATTATTCTTTTTCCTTGACCTTTCGTTCAGTTAATTAATTATTCTTATTCCTTCGATAATTAATTTATCTGAGTATTATTATTCTTTCTCTTAATAAAATGATTATTTTTTCTTTTATCACATGACTTTTCCTTATAATTTTTGTTGTATATTATTGATCATTTCCTTTTGTATTGCTACGCCTTAATCACTGAAATTGTTGACTTTACATCATCATTATCCTCATTAATACAAGCTAGCATTTTATTTAGGATATCATAGTTATGTATTTGTGTGAATTTTGCAATAGCTGATGTGGATTTTACGATGGATGGTGTGAACTTTACGATAGATGGTGTGGACTTTATGATGGATGATGTAAGCTTTATGATAGGTGGTATGGACTTTACGATAGGTGGTGTAGACTTTACAATAGGTGGTATAGACTTTACAATAGGTGGTGTGAACTTTACAATAGGTGGTGTAAATTTTGTGATAGATGATGCAGATTCTACAATGAACAAATCTAAATATAAGGAAAATATATTAATTTTGGAATTAAAAAAATAATTTTATTATTAAAAAACTTACCAGATACTGGATTAATTTCTTTTCCAATTCATAAAAATTTTTGGAAGATGATCTGAGTGTTTCATTTTTGCTATTTAAGTTCTTATTAATATTTTTCAAACTAAAATTTTGTAATAACAATTTAAGGTTTTTTTTATTTGATATAGAACTGTTTTTATTGACATTATTGAGAATACTATAATTTTAAACTACTGATTGAATGAAAAAAACAAAACTTCTTACCAAAGAAACGTCAAAATAATTATTTTACAATATTCCTGATATATATTTCTTATTTTTATATAAACAGTTATAAAAGGATAAATAAATTATGCATTATGACAAAAATTTTTAATGCTATAAAATTGATTGGCAATATGTATCGACTCGATAATTAAGGTCAACTCACATAGTTTGTGTATGATATTTCCGCTAACTGTTATATGATAATCATATTTTTATAATATTATTTATATAATTAGCAAGATTTTTAAAGATTATTTATTAATGCTTAAAAAGATATTTATCTCTTAAACTGTAAAGCAAGCAAATTTGCCTGCAAAGTTATAAAAAATGTCTTTATAAAATATTAAATATTAATTTTAATAATATCATTATTATATAAAAAATATAGTTTAATATATATATTATTAACTTTATTAATAAAGATTTTAAGTTTTTTAAAAGATTTTTAAAATAATCTAATTTTAAAATTAAGTTTCAA